TTGATGGGTGTAAGTGGAGCTGGTAAGACTACTTTGATGGATGTTCTGGCTGGTAGGAAAACCGGTGGATATATTGAAGGGAATATCAAAATTTCTGGGTACCCTAAGAAGCAAGAAACATTTGCTCGTATCTCTGGCTACTGTGAGCAAAATGATATCCACTCACCTCATGTTACAGTTTATGAATCCTTGCTCTACTCGGCATGGCTTCGTTTACCTTCAAGTGTTGATTCCACAACCAGAAAGGTTAGTTGGTAGAATCAGTGGAAATGTTTAAGTTAGTCATTTAGATAACCATTTTTCTCTGCTTAGAGGCTAATTGTTCAAACTTTTTCAATTTGAAAAATGCTTGCAGATGTTCATTAAGGAAGTCATGGAACTGGTGGAGCTGAACCCATTAAGGAACTCGCTGGTTGGATTGCCTGGTGTGAGTGGTCTCTCAACTGAACAACGCAAGACGCTGACTATTGCACTTGAATTAGTGGGTAACCCGTAAATCATTTTCATGGATGAGCCTACTTCTGGGTTAGATGCAAGAGCTGCTGCAATTGTTATGAGAACAGTCAGGAACACTGTGGATACCGGTAGAACTGTTGTCTGCACCATCCATCAGCCTAGCATTGACATATTTGAAGCCTTTGATGAGGTGAGTGATGGAAATGATAAATGAAGCTTGTGTCTTATTATTTAGTTTCTTTCTCCATTAGACATGAATCTAACATGACATTTTACGTGTGATTCCAGCTATTCCTAATGAAGCGTGGAGGACAAGAAATATATGTTGGGCCATTGGGTCGCCATTCTAGTCATTTGATCAAGTATTTTGAGGTAAGGTCATACTTAAATTCAATAATATTAGGTGAACAACTATAATTCTTGACAACAGATGCTAAAATTTTTCAATAATCTGCACTGTCTAGAGCATTGAAGGGGTGAGCAAAATCAAAGACGGATATAACCCGGCTACTTGGATGTTGGAAGTTACAACTACAGCACAGGAACTTAGTTTGGGTGTTGATTTTACTGACTTGTACCAGAATTCTGATCTATATAGGTATGCTACTGTATTTGTATATGAATTTATTAACTATACTGGCTATTGCCATCTTTATTTTCTTGATTTTCAAAACGCTTGAATGAGTTTTTCATGGATTTTCAGGAGAAACAAGCAGCTCATACAAGAGCTGGGTCAACCTGCTCCTGGTTCAAAGGATCTTCATTACCCAACTCAATACTCTCAGTCTTTCTTGGTCCAATGCCAAGCTTGCTTATGGAAACAACGTTGGTCATACTGGCGTAATCCTCCATACACTGCCTCGAGGTTTTTCTTCACTGTTTTTGTAGCCTTGATTTTTGGAACAATGTTCTGGAATCTTGGAGGCAAACAGTAAGTCAAAATTAGTAAATTTTTTAAAATAATTTCTTATTACTCATCAACAACAGAAAAAGATATGATATATTTTTTCATTTCTTCCAAATTCCACTCAAGTTCTAATTCCTTCTCGTGATAATACAGTTCAAGTAGACAAGACCTGTCAAATTCTCTAGGTTCAATGTATGCTGCTGTTTTCTTCATTGGAGTACAGAATTGTTCCTCTGTACAGCCTGTGGTATCAGTTGAAAGAAGTGTCTTTTACAGAGAAAAAGCTTCTGGAATGTATTCTGCTTTACCCTATGCATTTGCACAGGTAACTCAAAACATTATTTATTTTACAGACATTATTAGTTTGCATACATTGCTCAAACTCCCGACTTTTGGTCACAGATTTTGGTAGAGCTACCCTATGTCTTCATCCAATCTGTATCATATGGTGTAATAGTTTATGCCATGATCGGATTTGACTGGACTGTAGAGAAATTCTTTTGGTATATATTTTTCATGTACTTCACGTTGTTGTACTTCACCTTTTACGGCATGACGACTGTGGGATTAACACCAAACGAGCATGTTGCTGGCATTGTGGCTTTTGCATTTTATGCTATTTGGAATCTTTTCTCAGGATTTGTTGTCACAAGACCTGTAAGTTATTGTTACCCTTTGAACAAATAGTTTGTTGGAAATATTTTGTGAAAAATATAGAAAAATTGAATCTTGCAGACAAATTAAAATTAAAATTGAAGATGGAAAATTATCATTAAAATTACCATTAAAATTCATAGAAGAGAATGCTTATATATAGGTTTCCAATCAATTTAAAATTTCTAACAAATCTCATCTATTAACAACTCTACTTGTTGAGATTATATTGAATAATTGAAAATAAAATATAAAAATAAAACTGCAATAATAACAAATATCTTATCTAAAATTTATTCAAAATTTAAAATTTAAATAAAGGAAAATCTCATAAATCTAATATAGTTAAATACACTGATAAGGGACATAAAAATGCTTATTTATGCTTATTTTTCTTTTCTATTATGAACAGAGCATACCCGTGTGGTGGAGATGGTACTATTGGGCATGTCCAGTGGCTTGGACCCTATATGGATTGGTTGCATCTCAGTTTGGAGATATAATGGACCCAATGCCATTTGAAGGTGATGTGCCGGTGAAATATTTCATAGAAGACTATTTTGGTATCAAACATGACTTCGTTGGAGTTTGTGCTGGTGTGGTGGCTGGCTTTGCAGTTCTCTTTGGATTTATTTTTGCTGTTGCAATCATGACCTGTAACTTCCAAAAGAGATAGCGTTAAAGTTGGTGAAATTTCTTATGTACATTAGTATTTTGTGATGTGTAATTTTCTTTTATGTTTTACGTTGTAAAAAGGAGGGTTTGTCAGTCTAAAGTACAATGACTCGTACCTTTTTTCGAGTTTGTTTAGCTTTGTAATTAATAATTATGTTGGACAGGTTACCACACATGTTAGGTAGTAGAAAAATGTTGCTATGTTTTATGTATGATTTTATATGTATCTGAAACATATCACATCAGTTGTATATGAATGAAATTGAAAACATTTCATGTTTTTGGTCTAAATAACTCTTGTGTCAAGGATTGGTATTAAGAGCATTTTTTATCTTTAAAACTATGAGAGAACCCATTAAAAAGAATATAGAGAAGAATTAAGAGAGATTGCATAGAAGAGAAAAGCAGTAATCTTAACTTGCTGTCTTAATACTCATCCTTTTTAATGGTTTCAACAATATTTCACTACCAACACCTTCTGTATTTACAAGAAAGAACTACGAAATTTGGGTGATAAAGATGAGAGTTCAATTGAAAGTGTATGATCTCTAGGAAGTGGATGTTGAACCACTTCCCTTGCAAAAAAATCTCACTATTGCTCAAATGTAATTTCATAGTAAGTTGTCCAAAAAGTCAAGACTCTTATTGTCTTGCATTTTGTTGTGGATGATGATGCTTTTGAGAGTGTCAAATTTATATACAATAAAGGAAGTTTGGGAGAAGCTTCAAGAAGAGTTCTTTGGAAATTAAAGGGACTAAACAAATGCAAGTTCTTAACCTTAAAAAGAAAGTTTGAAGCTTGAATGAGGTTGAAAATATAAAAGACTTCATAATCAAGTTGATAAAAGTTGTAAATTAGATTAGATTGTAGTGGGAAAACCTTCCCGATAGTAGAATTGTGGAAAAAGTCTTGGTTGTCTTATCTATTCTTGAGATGGCTAGATGCATAATTTTTTTTTTGAAAAAATTGCCAAAGTCCTTTTGAGCAGAGATTGTAAATATTATTGTGTATCTCCAAAATAGGTTTCATGCAAAGATAGTAAAGGGGATGACACCCAATGAGTCTTGGGGAGGCATCAAACCATTCATTAGACATCTAAAGGTGATTGATTCACTTTTTTACACTAATGTACTAATTGTGAAAAGAAGCAAATTGAATGAGAAGGATTAAAAAGGAATTTTCATAAGCTATAATTCAAAATCTAAGGGCTATAAAGTTTATGGAATTGTTTTTGGAAAAGTTTTTATTAATAGAGATATTAAGTGGATGAAGATGCTTATCAGAATTGGGAGACTTCTAAATTAGAAAAGACATTTGATTTTATCTATTTTTTCATAGTCCAATTGAAGACCAAGAGAAAAAGTTGATTATTTTATCGAGGTACTAATCCTCTTTTAAAAATTAATTATAGATGTAATTTTTTACCTAAACCTACCAAATTTGAAGAAACAAGTATGGTCGAAGGATGAACCTAAGCTATGAAGAAGGAGATGACCACAATGAAGATAACAAGACATGGCAAATGGTTGACAAACCAAAAGACAAGAATGTAATTGGAATAAAATGAATCTGTGGGACAAATTTGAACTTGATGGATCCATCAATAAATACAATGTCAAACTTCTTGTTAAAGGCTATGTTTAACAACTTGGAATTGACTAAAAAAAAAAAAACTTTTTCTCCAATAGCAAGAATGGACATATGGAGAAAAGACGGTTACTAAAAAGAAGTTGAATAATGAATATAAAAATGTCGCACTTTTGACAAAAGAGTGAAGTAGTATTTGCAATAAATGAGTGTTGGAAGAGTAATAAAAAGAATAGTGAAAAATTATACTATTTCATCTCAAACATAGATATTACGTCTAGTTCTCAATCTGATAAGATTAATTTCTACTAACTTTCTCGAAGTTATGAGTATTCCTTTTCAAGTCACTTACAACTAGTATTTTTTGGTGAATTTCTTTAAATCACTACTCATGTATTCTTTTACAATCAAGCCTCTCTAGGCTCTACCATATAACAACAATTATCAAGGTATTACATGATTGTTAAGATCATCTCTCTAAGACGTGAATACAACAACATTTGGGTACAAAGATTTTTTTACAAGAAAAAAAGTTATCCAAAAGAGATGTCTATGTGTCGTGAATGTTTTACAGGTTATACTTTTTTCCTAGGTATATGACATTCTCATGAAACTCGAAGAGGTAAGAAATTGTTGCTCAATTCACTGCTAAAGTGGAATATGTAGTTGCAGCAGCAAACCAAGCTAATTGGTTGAGGAAAGTTCTACTTGATTTAGGAGAGCACGTGACCATTTTTCATTCTTAAGGATGTTAGTGGAATTGTAAAACCTTGTAGGTAAGAATATAGGATAAAAAGGATTCACGAAGCTCAAACCCCATTCACATTCCTGTATCTCAGTCTTGTACTTCACCATTGCCTTTATTAGATGACATTGCTTTTTGCGGTCCATGTTCTAGAAAAAACACTCTCCTTCTTAACCCTGGCTAGAAAGCTTGATCCAAATCTTAAGGTGAAAAGCATTTCACTCATCTTTTGCTTTTTACTTCAATCAGCTATATCCAACTTGAGTGCTGAAATATGTTAGTTTCTGGGAGAGTTACTTATAATGGGCATGGAATGAATGAATCTGTACCTCAGGGAACTGCTGCCTATATTAGCCAGCATGATGTTCATATTGTAGAAATGACTGTAAGGGAAACTTTGGCTTTCTCTGCAAGGTGCCAAGGGGTTGGATCACGTTATGGTTAGTCAACTTTTACCTTCAAAATGTCTTCCTCTTCACCTCATGCTGTTATTGATAATGATAACTTCCATTTATGAAATCTAAACATGACAAGGAGCCTGTTTGGATATGGTCTAAAGAACTTTTGAGAGTTTTTTTTACCAAAATTAAAGAGTATTTTTCAGGAAAAAAAACTCTTAAAAGCCTTCTAGATTGGTATTCAAATATGCTCAAAGTATTGTTTTGGCCGTGTACAGACTCACTATCTGAACTGTCAAGAAGAGAGATAGCAGCAAATATGAAGCCTGACATGAAGGTGAACAAGGAGCTTTTTAAAGGGTGTCTACTCTTTTTATGTCTAATGCTTACATTTGAAAATCAGCTTAGAAAAGATTGCTAGTGAAATCTGCTTTAGGATAAATCATTTCGCCACCTTCACCATCCTTTCCTCCTCTTAATTCACTGAAATCTTTGTTATGGACAAGTAGTCTTTTCATCTTATTGGCTTTTGACGATACCAGGTAACAGCCTCTGAAGGCCAGGAAGCAAACCAGATGATGACAGAATTTGTACTTAAGGTGATTGATATCTCCATTTTTCTTCATCGTGTTCTAACATTACTCAAACTTCACAAATACTTTCTGAATAGCTTCTAACTTTTTGTTTATTTGTAATTTACGGATCTTGGTGCTGGAAATGTGTGCTGATATCATGGTAGGAGATGAAATGTTGCGTGGTATATCTGGTGGACAAAGGTAGGGTGGTGTGATCCAACTGCTTGTCCCTGTAAGTGATTCCAATTCAGTTTCTAAATTCTATATTAATATTATGTACTCATAATGGACACACGAAGAAAAATTGTTTGTACCACCCATCAACCAACCATAAATATATTTGAAGCTTTTGATGAGGTGAGTGTTGCTCTTGATCAAATGATACCGTTTCTCACTTTTCTGTTTTGGCCAACCATACTAGTTTAGCACAAATAAACAAAAAAATAGTTTCAGTTTTTCCTACCAAATCGAGGAGGACGAGAAATGTATGTTGGGCCATTGAGTCGTCATTCTAACCACCAAATTGAGTATTTTGAGGTAAGGCATGTCTGAAAAAATCAACATGCATCTCAAATGATATTTATAGTTGTTGATACTTGTTACTGATATTGCATTATTTCTAATTTTGCTTTCAAGCAGAGAATTGAAGGTGGTAGAAAAATTAAAGATGGATACAGCCATGCAACTTGGATGATGGAATACAACTTTCGGCATTAGAAATAGATTTGAACATCGACTTTGCTGATATATACAAAAATTCCTAACTACATACAGGGAAGTTGTTTTGTGGTGTTACTCAACATTCTTATTTAGTAAAAATATTTTTTCAAACTAGTGCTGAAAAAATAGATATGTATGCCATATGTTAGGTGGAATAAAGCACTTGTAGCAGAATTGAGCAAGCCTCCTTTTCAAACCATTTCATGCAAGGCCTGTCCATGGAAACAACACTGGTCCTCTTTAGTTTGGTTTTTTATTTTTTGACACATGGTGTAATGGTGACACTGGTCCTATTGGGCATGTTCTGTGGCTTGGACCTTATATGGATTGGTTAAGAGTTTCTCCAAAGATATTTTGGTTATAGATATGATTTTGTAGGAGTTGTGGGGTTTTGCAGCACTCTTTACTATTATCTTTGTGTAAAGGTCTTCAATTTCAAAAGTCATCTAATAGATTATACATCCTTTCAAGTGATGAATAAACTACATATTATTCCACGTAATTCAATCATATAAAATTAATTTATAAAAAATTAACATAAAATAAAAATATCTTATAAAAATTTTATAATATATGATTTGATAAATTCAACGATATTTATTAAAAAAAAATAAAATCTAGTACTATACTTTAAAAAGTAAATTATGACATGAGTCAAAATTATTTTTTATTTATATATATATATATATTTTATTGATTATATATCTATTGGTGTGAAATCTCCACAATGTAAACAGAAAACTGAAAGAAAAATAAATGGACATGGTGGAGTTATTAATGTTTTTTTGAGTTAGGCGAAGGCCCCATTGAACAGTTGAACTCAATGTAGAGAGCTTAATTGACACGTTTTCCAAGTTTGGAATTTGGAGTCGCCAATGACATTTGACCGTTTTTTCAACCAGGTTCAATGTCCCTGGTTTTCAGCCGACGACATTGGTCCCGTGTTCTTATTTATATAGATTCAACTAACATTGTTTTTGTTATCTCATCAAGTATAAAACAAAGTTCTTTTTTTGGATGGGGTGGGGCGTTCCACCTTAGTTTGCACGTGGTACTACTGCTTACATACAAAAACATGATTACATACAATACTTACTTTGAAATATTTAACGACAATTTGTAAAACGGTGGTACGATTTAAAAACTTGATGGGTGTAAATTAAATTTTTTAAAGATAATGTTATCAAATGAATTAATAAAAAATGGAAAGAAGTAAAGCATCTAGAATCAAAATTTTGCAGGTGAAGCCACCGAATCCGATTAATGAACTCTGATGGGAAACCGACGCAAGAGAACAAATTCCGTCCAGCATCGATTTATGAGTGCCATGCGTAGACTCTACAACGTGGGTGTGGGTGCTAAACGATAACGTGATCCTTTGTCTTGCCATGCTTTTTTATAAACAAACATGTAGTTGTAGGCTGCTTTTATTGCATCTAGAACCCCACAACATGCCCAAGCTATTACCATTAATTACGTAATTCATGAATGCCAACTAACTCTACTTATTTTACTATAATACTTTGTATAATTAATATTTTTTCTTAAAAATATACTTATGTTTTACAAGATAAATAAACTACAGTAACATAATAAGTTCACATATTACTTAAACATTTTGTTTTTGAAAATGATTTATTAATCATTTCAAAAGATGTTGGACATATATTTAAATTGACTTTAATCCTATAATTAATGCGGATTTTGAGAAATAATAAAGGGTTCGAGCTCGCTTTATCAAAGTTTGGAGAAAACAAAAACCATGAACAATTCCAATTGGTTTAAGTTTTACTGTTGAAACTATAGCTTGGTAATAAATAACACTTGACTTAATTAAAGAGAGGGGTTTCGGTCTGTATTTAATTTGGAGCATAAAAATGAAAGATAAAATGATCCTAGATCTATTATTGCAACTTTTTTTTTTTTTTTTGTAACCGAGTAATATCTATCTAGAAGTTGAATTATTGGTCCAAAGTTCCTTTTCAACGAAGAGAAGAAGATCAATTTTATAGACCAGTCTTATATAAAATAAAAAAAATTTAATCTAGAAGTCAAGATGTCAATGTTTCTAGTTGCCAATGTTACGGAAATGAAGACTCAAAAGCAATACACGTCAAATTCCAACCATCGCGCATTTAGTGTTTAGAACGCAAATTTATGTGACTGACGTACCTGCTGATGTCATTCATTAGTTGATTTTAACTATTTTTCCTTTTCATCAAATAATCTTAAAATACACTGTATATGACTTTACTATGGTGTGAAGTCTTGTCTTGCATCTTTCAATTTAATATATATATTCTTTTTCGAAAAATCTTTCAATTTAATATAAAGGTTACAAATTTTCCCCACTGATGTCTGAACTTTAATTTACAGCCATAGAGATGAATCTCAAAAGGCTTCACTAGATATTTTCTGAAGATATCCTTATCTGTTATTTTGGACAGACATATCCCAATCTGTTGGATGAACTTCTTTAGGAATTTATTGATCTTTCTCAATTATTTTTTTGCTGTAGTATGATGAAAAATATTATATTAACTATTCACGATTAGGCTTAGCCGCCTCCAATAATTACAGAACAATAATAATGCCCTTCCTTCTTTTCTTTTTCTTTTTAAATTTTTGGTTAGTTGTTTATTGATTTTATTTTATTTTTGTAAATGGGGTTTTTGTTAAAGTAATACACACCGTGTGAAATTTAGTAACTAGTTCCATGACACCCGTGAATTTTACGCCTCGTTTAATAACTAATACTTGGGTAAGATTTTTAATAATGTTCCTGCTAAAGGTGGATTAGAATTTCTTTCTAGGTTAAGTCTTAGAGCCACAATATTCAAAAATATAATCTGTTTCCTCAATTCTAGGATTTTAGATCTTATAGTTTTTTATTTATGGGCCTTATGGGTCCTGAGAGTGTGAGGATTTCCCAGACCGTTCTTATCGAGAAAATGCTTGGTGAGTGAGGGTCAGACCTTGTCCTTATTAACGGATAGCTTTTATACGGGCAGGTTGGGTCGGGCCTTAACCGACCAGATCCATACTGAGAGTCCAGTCGGGTATTGGCCGAGTAGGCTCTTATAGGCAAGTGGGATCGAGATGCAACTGACTTGGCTTACGCAGAGATGTCAAGTCGGATATAGGCCGAGAGACTCTTAGAGAGGGGATCAGTCAAGGTTGTAGTCGGTCTATCGCTGGTAGAGAGGTCAGATCGAATTCCAACTTGGACGGTCCAAATCGGTACCAGATATTTATTTATTTATAAGATAAAAAGTATATACGAGTAAATAAATAACTAGGAAATTTGGTTACTTAATATGTATTAAAAAATATGATATTTAAAAGAGGAGCATTGGTGGGAGGATGGAAGTTTCGTTTGAGAGGGAGAGGGGGGAAAAAATATTATTTACGTAAAAAATTCACTATTTGTGACTAAAGGATAATTCTAATTTTTCATAGATTGTCATGCAATTGAAGTAAAGGTTATGACTTTTTTGGAATTTTAAAACTATAAAACTATTTGTGTGTGTGTGGAAGGGATAGAAATGATATTGTGATTTTGTAAGATTGTGGGGTCAGATATCACCGAACTTCACACTGATGAATCTTTGTTCTCTTGTTACATTCATTGCATAGTCAACCCATAAGTTTACTCAAACCTAATCCCTTAGAGCAAGAGCCTAGGTGCAGATAGTGAATATCAATTCCTTGAGTATCCAAAGTATACACCTGCATTACGGGTTAGGGTTTAAGACTATTAATGGGCCAAACTTCATTCCTAGATACATTTCCCACTAGGTATTTGTTTCAGAGTTAGTTTCAAAGGCTATTTTCCAATACCCAATAGATTCTATATCAAGCAAAGGAGAATTAATCCAAAGCAAACATTAAGGATAGAAATATAACACAAAAATGAATGAAACAACATATATATATATATATATA